GGAAGTTAAGAAGGTAAATATGGTTGATGTAATTCCTATACAAAAATGTATACAATTTTTAAACTTGTTAAAATTATCATAAGAAGGAGACTAATGTAGAAAGAAGAAAAACAGAGGTGATGGACCAATTGGGGTTATAATACATATATACATGGAAATGTCACAATGAAACATTCTGTGTAGCTACGTTAAACAAACAAAATGTCTTTTTTTTTTTTTTATGAAAACAGAGAACAGGAAGACAAAATAGGTCCTGTCTGGGGAGGTTGGTACAAGTGGGAGGTGGGAGGGTATAAGGACAGGGCATAGAAGGTGACTGTGGTGGAAATACTATGTACACATGTGTGGAAATGGAAGAACAAGACCTGTTGAAACTATTTTCGGAGTAGGGGGAGAGGGATAAAGGAGAATGATGGAGGGGGTGAATTCAACTGTGATACATTGTAGGAACTTTTGTAAATGTCACCTTGTACCCCTAGTACAACAATAATAAAAATTTAAAAACTAAATCATAGGACTAAATGAAATGTTTTAAGTAAAGTGTAGTTGTGTATTTGAACTTTAAAGAGTTCCACCATTTAGAGGTTGAGCCAAGAAGGCACCAACAGAGGAGCTGAGGGAAGATCTCTGTGAAATGAAGAGAGGGGTAAAATAAGGATGTTTCTAAGCCTCAGAAATGAAATGTGTCAGGAGAGGAGTGCTCTACCTTCCAAGAAGTCAAGCATAAGTAACAGCATGATCATTGCATTTGGTGTGCTGGAGGTAACCAATGTACCTGACAAGAGAAATTTCAAGGACTTGAGGAGATGGAAGCCTGGTAATAGCAGGCTGAGAGGAAAATGGTAGTTGCCCTTTCTATTTCCTCACCTGTCAACCACTCAATCCAGAGGTTTCATTGTTAGGGAAAATAGGAAGATGGGGCAATAAATGGAGGTAGCTTTGGGAGACCCCATCATAACATTTTCATATAAGAGAAGGAGAAAGAGATGGTATCAGAGAGGAAAAGAGTACTTCCTGAGGGAAATCCATGAGAAGGTGAGAGGTCAGGACCCAGAGCCCAGACAGAGCAGGTGCGGGGACTCTTCATCCAGTTGCATTAGAGGAAAGGCAGTGGTAAATTGAAGGTTGGTTGACTTAGTGATAGGTGAGGTCACAAGCCTTGGTGCACTTATCTCTTAAGGAGGTTCAGTCTTTTACTGCGAGAACAAGGGAGGCGAGAGTATAAGAGGCTTGATGAGCAAAGCGAAATGTGAAGTGTTCATCATGGAGAGGGAGAGCACCACAGCGTTGCCAGGCACATTGGTGTTTATTTGAATGAGAACAGTCAATATTATTTATCTTTCCTTCCAGCAAAGTTTAGGAGGTTAGTTATGGGCAAGAAAAATTTGAGAATTTGTGTTTAATTAACATAGGGGATTTATTAGGTAAGTACAACTAAAGGGGATGAGTGAAAGATTTTTATAAAGAATATTAATAATGGACATGGGAGGGAATTGAGAATATGAGAATTTTGATATATAAGGAAAAAGTTACAGGGTCAGTGATTGGTGGTCTCATTGTGGTTGATAAGCAAGTTTGGAAATTGTGTCAGGGAAAAGTCATACTGGTCAGGGTCTAGGCCGTAATCCTAACTAAGGGATAAGGAAATAGTAGTAAGGAAACTGAATGGGATAGAAGAAAAGATCACTGGAGGGAAGACAAATGACTGCAAGCCCAGGGTTTGGGATGGAGCACCCACAGGACACTGAGCTAACAAACAACGATGACTGTTACCATTAGCTACGTACTAATGATAAGGAGCTGCAAAAAGACTGCCACACATTTGTAAGCAAAGGAATTTGTCTAGGAATGTAATTTCTCTAGGATCACTTTTTCATTCCTAGGCAAGCTGTTAAGAGATTCATATTTTAAAATCAGATCGGCATTTTGGGGTCTTGTGAACTTTTTGCCTGAACTGGCCTTGAATAGCCATCCTCCTGATCTCAGCCTTCCAAGTCACTACCAAGCAGCTAGGATTATAGGCATGAGTGACTGGTGCCTGGCTAAGCAGTATTTATGAACGTGTTTGCACATGAGGACATCTGAGGATTCTGATTGGCTCTGGATGGACACCACTTCTGTCCACAGAGTCTGATGCCTTAATACTGAGGTGGGTCAGAGAATTCTTACTGTCCAAAGCTTCTCAAGTGATTCTGAAGCATATTCAGCCTTGTTAACCACTAAGTTAAATCATATTCTAGACCATCTTAAGTGAAAGAGTCATTTTTGAAAAAGTTATTTCACATTTACATTTACTTGAAAAGACTGAAGTGCTGCTAAAGGAAGAAAATAGAGATGAAATTCAGAATTAGAAAATCTCAACTTGTTCTAGCAGGCATTTTATTACAGAACTCTGGGTTTCTTTTCATTTTCCTTCTTCTGGTCCATAAGTAAACAATTCTATCATACTGCAATTTTCTCTGTAGTGACTTAGAAGTTACCTCATCACATTTTTCAGAAACTGTGTAGTTAGAACCTAAGTTTATGTAATTTTATTTATGCTTAAAATCTACTTTTTCTTTTATATGTTCATTAGATTTTCTTCTGCTTTTGTAGTAAACACGCCTTTTACTACTTTGTACCTTTATGGAATGGATCCTCAGGATCCTCATGAACCTTTCTCATCCTCACTATACCTGAGGCAACTATGTCTTGTTTGTCTTTATTTTATCCTAATACAGTGACTTACAAAGTAAATAAATGTTTGATGAAGGAGTAGAAAAGCACATTAAACTAATTGTTACCTTTCTGATTCCTTCATATTATGAAGTTTCAAGGTAGTTTCTGGGAAACAGTGGACATAATGATATGTGGATTCAAACAATAAGAAAAACAATGCCTAGGATCTTAATAATAAATTCATAAAATCTCAACTCTATACTAACTCGTTTTTCTCATAAGCCCTCATAAATTCAAGCCAAGAAGTCTTGATACTGATCTTGCCACAACCAACTGTATCCTTTCTGGACCTCTTTCTCTCCCAGCAAACACTAACCATTGCTAACTACATACAGATATGAAAGAAGTAGAAAGAACCCAAGGCCTGGTTATCGAGCTGCAGAGAGGATTGGTGGTGTGTGACAGCACTCTGGCCGATACTGCTAGGATCCCACTTCTTCAGCTTACTGGAGTCCCCTGAGGTGTCATCATGTGTTGTGAGCCTATGTTATAGAATATGACGTTAACCAAGAAACTGTCCATAATACCTAGGAGTTCAAAGTTAAACCTAAGTGTCATAAATGCTATTGTGGAAGAGAAAACTAGGTGGTCAGAACACTAGCAAGGGCATTTGACCTGGCATTGGAAAGGTATGGAAGAATCCCTGCTGAAAATGGCTCCTGAACTATGAGGCTAAGGATGAATCTGCCGTGTGTGAGTGCAGTGGTGTGCAGGTCTGATTTGGGAAAGGAAGCTGCAGATATGTTGGTGAGGAGTTTAAGGGTTGCTGGAAGATTTGGGAGGACCCTATGCACATCTGAGTGGTTGGACCACAAAGGAGACTTTCTGTCCATGAGTGAGTTTGGACTTGATAATTACTAAAGTAATAGCACCCATCAAAGGGTATGGTGTGGATGCAATATTATAAGAGCATCTAGCCTCAGAAACCTGCAATTTGAGTCCCTTACACCAATCCTAACAAATTGTAGCCTGAACCAGAGAAAACTGCCAGAGATGCAGGTGATTCCTCTGCAGATCCAGAATGAATTGTAACATCTAACAAATGAAATCAGAGGACTTTCAAAATTCACAGGGTGACTCATGCCACCTGTACATGAGGTGTAGATGCACTTAGTTCTCTTTCTAAGTAATATTATCAACAAAAGAGGATTCCACAGTCTTGCTCTGTTAAGGACTAAGGTCACTTTTTATTCTAGCAACATAAAAGCCACTTGACCAGGCTGAAAATGTGTTCCCAGACCTGTTTCAGAATTTCTTCCCTAATGGCTTGTGCGAATCTAGGCTGAAGGGCTTTAATGGTACATTAGGGAGGGGCAGTGGAAAACTGAGAGTGAAAAACTGAGGGCTGTTGTAACCACAGAGCTGTGCTCCGATTCTGAGTACTGCCCAAACTAATACTCAACTCATGAGGACTTTGAAAACTCTGTCCACTGTTGCTCTTAGTACTTGCCATTGAACTATTCCCTTCATTGGGAAGGAGTGGGTTTTGCTCTCCTCAACAGACTGTTTTGGTTTTTATTTTATTATTTAAAAAAATGGCATGTGTTTATGGTGCACAATATGATATTTTGGTAGGCATGTATACGATGAAATGAATAGTACTGTCAAGCAAATTAACATCTCATGTGATTACCCTTTTTGTCCTTGTGGTCAGAATGCCTGAAATTGGCCCTTTTAGCAAATTTTCAATATGCAACACAGCATTATTAACAGTAGTCACCATGCTGTACATCAGTGCAAGGAAGATTGATCTCTTTGGAATAATAATTGAGTAATTGGACCCATTAAACAATCATCTTAAAACATGTCTAATCTCTTCAAGTTTAAAGTGTAGAAATTATGACCACATTTCCCTATTTCATTGAGTAAATTTACATAATCTGTATCACTCTGGGGTCACACAGAAATGATGACTAATATTACCAATGTGACTTTAGGACAACTTAAATCCCCATATAATCCTGCGGACCAGTACTTGCCTGCTAATATGCTGCAGGAATTAAGAGTCTGAGCTTTTGAATGAAAGAGATCCAAGTTCAGAGCCCAGTTCTTCCATTTACTAGCTCCGTGATTTTGGTGGAGGCTTCAGTCTTCTAATATACAAATGGAGATATTAGTGGTAACTATCTCATAGATTCACTGTGAGGATAGGATGAGATTGTGAGTGATGAAGTGTTAGTACCTTGTTTCAACCATAGTTAGTATGCCCTTGGCATTTTTGCCTTATTACATTTGTTTGTTTTATTCTGATCCTCTTGCTCTTTTCTTTTTTACTCCCCTAGAGATATGAAGCCTGACAATATTTTACTTGATGAACATGGTAAGTAAGTGGTTTATTTGTGATCAACTACATGATATGCATGTAACACAAGTTGAATATCTCCAACAAAGGAATATTACATACAAAAAAGGTCTCTTGCTTGATTCAGATGAATTATATGTACAAATTCCATTTTAAGGGTAGAAGGAACAATATGGGGAAAGTATGACAGTGTCATAATCCAACAATATGCCCTTAAATAACATTGAGTTTACATAATGAGAAAGTCATTCTCTACTTAATATTCTCCCACTATTGCTGTCTTCAAGAAAGCCTTCATGGTGGTTTTGGTGCTAGTTTGCTTTAATATCTTATGATATGCAATGACCTTTTTTGTGTTTTGTAAAGACAGAGCAGGCCTCAAGCTTACAGTACTTATTTGGCAGATAGTAGTATCCACCAAGTAATACTATTTTGTTTTTGCATCTACTTTTTTCCTTCTTATGAAGGTAAATTGCCTTTACATTTACAGAAAAGATATCACATTTTCTGTTCAAAAATACGTCAGTTAAAAAATCTGGGAGTTCAAAGAAAAATATAAAGTTCATAGAAGGAGTATCTATGGTACCTAGATGTATGTGGCAGGATATGGCAAAAAATCATGAAGATGGTGAGTGCCTGAAGTCCAGGAAACAATGATTAGTTTTCTCTGGAGCAAGCTTTGGACAACAATGATTAAATGTGTATAGGCTTTGCCTAATATTTATTTTCATGAGCATTTGGATTATTGATACTACATCAGAGAAGACCTGTAAGGTACAGAACTTGTGTGTTACAGATGTTGCAGTGGCAATAAGATCTTTGTTCTGTGTTTGGAAAGTTGCTAGATTAGTCCCAATTCTGCAAAGCTCTTTATTCATGCAGTTTTTACAAACAGGATTTGCAAGGGGAACTGAAACACCAAGTGCCATCTATTGTTCATTATTTATTTACTTAGTTGAGTTTTAAATCCTGATTCACCAGACTCCACTGTGCTCAGATGACTAAGAAATGCTTTTGTGTATGACCACTAATCTCAAAGCTCAGGGTCATTATTTATTTATGGACTGTCTGAAGAGATTTTTTCCACTTTCTTCTACTGCTTTATTTCTTCCTTACCTTTACTGCTTCTGACATTTGGGAACAGATTTCTGAATCTCAGAAACGTAGGCAATGGTGAGACTTAGCATGAAGGTGACTTTCATGAAAACACCAACTATCCCTGCCTTCAATAAGAGGCCTAATCCTTGCTTGTCCTTGTATAAATAAACCCCATGAAGATTTATAACTGAAGAGACATAGCCTACAGAGACCACCTTTTTCCAATTAGGCAAAAAGTGCTCCCTCTGCCACCAAGGCAGGTTGGGGTTTAGTCATTACTTGCTCACAAAGGTAGCCAGCTACCTTTGTGCATAACACCTGTTACTCCATCATTTGTAGAAGCTTTGACAGGGACATGTAGATTTTATTAACTAAAACCTTTTTAAGTTTTATCTTCCATTCTGAGAATGGTGCAGTTAGTACTGGGTCTCAGAGATGCTTCCTCTTGTTTCTACCATAAGAACACCCTTTTCTTCTTCATACAACTTCTTCCTTCTCATTATTTTCTTGGTAACTTGGTTATTGTAGATTAGAAAGAAGATAAAGAAATCAATTAATCTGTAAGTTGAACCACTCTTAGAGACCACCCTCATGAAAGATTAATTGTGTAATACTGTGGGCACTACTCACTAACTCTGAGAGTTTTGACAAGTTGCCTAAATATTCTCTGTGTCTTAGTTTTTCAGGTCACAAAAGCTTACTTGCTTCTTAGGGTCATTATAAAACTAACTGATACAACACTTATGAAGTGCTTGATGCAATGTCTGCTACAAAGAAATCACTCAGTAAGAGTCAAATATGAATACGACTCCCATGAGGTAGAAGAGGCTTACTTCCCTAGGCAAGGAAACTTGAGGTACTTTATTTTGTTTTATGTGGTGGTGTGTATGGAAGTGTGTATGTGATATGCACCAATGCTATGTCAGATAGACTCTGTGTGAGTATTTACTTGTCTTCAGCAGATAACTATTTGTATTCCAGAAGTGATAGTCCCAAATTTTGCTTGTCTTTTTGTTAGATCTTTGTGTTTAAGCAATGCCATTTAACCCTTAATCCTTAGGGAACTCTATTGTTATTGGTCCAGTCTGCTTTCCTTCATGTGCACAGGAGTCTAATGCCACTGTTTGTGGCATTTTTAATTCTGATGGGGCTACAGTTTTGTTCAGGGAGTCTAAGCCATCATCCTGGTCTCTCAGCTGGTGTGTTATTTCCAAAGAGCCCTTTCACGCTTACATTTTTGACTTGAACAATGAATTCAAAGGAGGCTTTTCTGTATTATGTTCCCATCCTGAACTCAACTTGAGAATAACTGCTGTTAATAAAAGAATAATTGGAAGAATTGTACATGAATGTGCTAGAATCAAACAAACAAAAAAATGAGAACCATTCTCTAAACATTGTCATAAGGATCCCTTTCTGGAGAAAATATTTTTTGTCATTACTTTCTATTCATTTAGATTCTGTAAAACTAGGACTTCAGAATTTGCTCCTGGATGTTAATTAACCACTTTTAACCACATTCCTTAGCCCATCTCCTCCCAGCTCATTATGTGTTTGCTCTTGTGGGAATCAGATAAACCACACATGAATACTTGCCTTTTGGAGCATCTGCTGGTGCAATTTTCTATGTGGATCTCATATAAGAAGCCTTCATTTGGCTTTCCCATCCACATTTATAATGTCACTCCAAATGCACCATCACCTGGGCCTCTTGCATGTGGATTTTAGCAACTGTGATGTTGTCTAAATTTTTGTACATTCTTCCTATGCTTATCATTCTAAGTAAGTTATACATTACCCCATGTGGCTTAGATTTTAATTCAGCACCACCTGGAAACAGGCGGAACTTTGTTTTATTCTTATTGACTTATATTATTTATATTCACCAGGAAATGTTGACATTTATATGAGGTGGATGTGATGTAGGCAGTCTCTCCACAATGATAATGAAGATTTCTTGCACATCAGCATTTGACATAACAAATGTTTTTAATTTAGAGCTACCTGGTACTGTCCTCCCAGGTGTCTCATTTACTAGTTCAGAGCCAAGATGGCAACAGGTCTTAGATGACTTATAAATAACTGTCCTCATATGTATTTTCACATCCTGCCAGTTTAACTGGCCCATCCAATTCTATCAATTCCATAGTGTCTAAAATTCTTGTGTTTTTCATAAGTTATTCAGGAAATAAATGCCACATTCAGAACAATAATGTCTGGATATCTGACTGTGAACATTATGGAATCATAATTTAGGTTTCTCTATATCATCCTTAGTCACAAGGAGAAGAGGCAAAAACTCAACCTGGAGGGTGAGGAAGAACTGAGCTTTCTATGTTAACAGTTTCCCCCATTGACAGTCCTCAAATGTGCTTAAAAGTCAAGTGGAAGATGTCTTTTTGAAAAAAAAAAATATATATATATATATATTTGAGTATATATATATAATACTGTATCCAATCCCGAGATAATGAGATTGAAGTCTTGGGTAATGCCTAAGGCTAACAAGCATTGCAGGGGAATTGTGGTACACCTACTCTAAACACCTGCAAATAGAAGAGAGTTTTAAAAGTTGGAGGCAATGCCAACTGATTGTTTCTGATGCCCTAGAGTGCATTCTTGATGAGAAAGGTCTTTAGACTGAGCACAAGGCACAGTGAAAGAGTAGAGATCATGGCAACAATAAGATGAATTCGGATTTTTAAAATGATCCTCCATCTCAAGTCACAGAAGTAGAAAGGAAAAACTAAATCTGTCCCCCAACAGGGCTAGATCAGGAAGTTTTTATCCTTAGCAGTGGGCTGGATGCTATCAGGATGCAGACAGTGACATTTAGTATGATGTTTAGTGTGTACTGTGAGCCCTCTGAAAATTTCAGTCCTATCTCATCAGATAAATGGAAATGCCAATGCTTCAAGATCCTCTGAAAGCAGATGACTACTGTGCCAACAGCTAACATAACAGTCTTGCCGACCTGGGATTCCTGTACTGTCCTTTTTCTTCCTTCTTGCTGTGAATGCAAGGACCCTAGAGACTTGGTGGGGTGTATTCTCTGTAGACTCTACACTGTATTTTCTTAAGTTTTAGAGCTGAGAGATACCCTAGAAACCATCTTGCCTACCCATTTTTCTTTTGTAAATAGAAATCTGGAGCTGGGCACCGGTGGCTCATGGCAGTAATCTTAGCTACTCGGAGGCAGAGATAAGGAGGATCATGGTTTGTAGCCAGCCAGGAAAAATAGTTTGTGAGACATCATCTTGAAAAAAACCCATCACAAAAATAGGGTTTGGAGTGGCTCAAAGTGAAGGGCATGAGTTCAAACTTCAGTATGGCAAAAAAAAAAAAAAAGAAAGAAAGAAAGAAAAGGGGAAGGGAGAGGAGGGGAGGAGAGGTGAGGACAGTGGAGAAAGGAAGGAAGGAAGGAAGGAAGAAGAGAAAGAAAGAAAGGAAGGAAGAAAAGAAAGAAAGACAGAAAGAAAATTAATTTGGTATCAGCCTAGGAAAAGGACTTAAAGTCTACTGTGTATTAGAACAGGGCAGAGCTCCAGTCTCGTGGCCCCTAATCTAGTGTACTAAATAGAACTCTTTTAAAGATAAAAGCTGATTTTTTTCCCTTGCTATACATTGTAAGTTATTTTACTGGGGATTGATGGAGACAACCTGAACTACCCCTCAATACACACACACACACACACACACACACACACACACGCACACAAAATACTAGTGGCATTTTAGAAAAACAATGATAACAAGGACTCTTTCTTGGCCAAAAATATATGCATCCACACTTGTGCTAGCTTGTAGTAATTTTGTCTCTATTTTTTACAAGATTCCCTAAGAGATGCTTGGAATTGTGATACTTTGAATAGCTCTTGGCTCTCTTCCTCATGATACTCACAGGCTAAAAAACTTAGACTTGTGCCAACAGACAAAAATTGCCTAAGTAGAATTACCAGAGCATAAACTCAGCTATTAAGTTTCAAAGATTCTGAGGTTGAACTACAAGTTTACAATCAGAGACTAATTTGTGCATGTCATGTCCTGGTTGCTGGAGGGTTGCTGGTTTAAGACCACATTGGCCTTGAGGCTGGAATAAATGAGCTTGTATTGCCTGAACCCAGCTGCAAGGAGCATAAACAGTGAACAGACTAAGCTTCCAGATGTTTTCAATTAGACTCATGTTCCACTGGATTGAATGGGACTTAGCATTCACCATTGTCCTTCTCTGTCCCTAGGGCACGTGCACATCACCGATTTCAACATTGCTGCCATGGTGCCCAAGGAGATGCAGATCACCACCGTAGCTGGCACCAAGCCTTACATGGGTATGGGCTTCACAAGCTGCCATAGTTCTTAAGTGCAAAGCTTTTGTTTCTCATTTCTATGGACACCATTTATTGCAGGTTGAATCTGCAGGGACATGCAGCTAGAGCAGACAAGTTCCTTTCTGACTTTACCTGGGGAACTTCTGATTTAATGGGTCTGAAGTGAGCCTAAGGACTCTCCATTACCAAGTACACAGGATGATCTTGACTCAGCAGGGCCATTGATCACATTTTAAACTAGACATTTTGTGAGATAATTAAGTCACTTTCTACCCACTTCCTAACAAAAATATTAGTTCAGTAAATGGCTACTAATTGTCTCTGTGTGCTCTGCAGGGTTTTCAGACTCTGGTGACCCAGTAGTGAGCAATATACACAAGGTGACCCCATGGATCTTACCTGATAGTGAGAAAGATAAAAAACAGAATCAAACAGAAGTGAAGCAACAGTTAGAAATAGGATGGTAAAAATAATAATTTTAGCTATTATCTATATAACACTGTATTACATGCACAGGATTGTAAAGTACTTTTTCAGTTATAATTTTAGCATCAGTTTTATTGACACAACAGTCTCGTAAACTCTTCTTTTTAAAGGTGAGTAAAACATCCCTCAGAAATATTAGATGACTTTGCATAATTTAGTTTACAGTGCAATGAAGAACTGGGTTTGCCTTGAGGATTTAGAATTTATTAAAGGGTGACTAGCAATGTAAGGTTAGGTGCAGAATTGCTACTAAGGTCACATATTTCATGGTAGAAACAAATTAACTATAAATTCTAACTTCAGTTGGAAGAGGCTGCCATCTCTGGATAGATAATATTTTAGTTGAATTTGTCCTACCTCCTGTCCATCCCAGAAAATACATAGAACTGTCACCCTTCAGAGGTCACACAGTGCTCAGAATAAGGGAATTCTTCTTCCTTTCTTCCTATTGTTCCTAAGGCAAGTGAATCAAATCTTAGGTAATTATCTGCAAGAAGAGAGGCTGTCATTCTGTTCATGGTGCTAGTCACTGGGCTTGCTGACTGGTCCCTAAGGAGCTTAGTTGGCCACAGAGGGTCAGTGTGTTTGGTGGCAAGTCTTACTGGGACCATAGCAGCAGGAGACTGAGTGAGTGTATTTGGGGTACAATCGAGAGCCCATGGCCCAGGTTCACTGGGGCACCTTCAGTGCAGGCATGCAGCCTATAGGGGCAGCACCACACTTGTGTTAGGTAGGATCTCTCTGCCTCTGCCCACCCTCTTAAACTCCTAAAACAAGCACTGCTTTCAAGTAAACTGAAGAAGGAAACCTGTGAGAGCCTGATCAAGTCCTCCATCTTCACACCAAGGTGGCAAGGTCCAGATTTGAGGAGCTTTGAATCAGATATGAGATTAGTTTTGAAATTCACAGGAATAAATTTTAAACTGTCTAATGTAAGTGTTGGACGTAGCAAAAGGGATTAAAGTATGTTAGGCGATAGACTGAGAGGTCAGTAGGGGAACCCCCATCCAGTTAAAAGCAGGAGGTGAGACATGCACGGTTGCTGGCAGATGACAGAAGAATAAAAACCATTCCTATGCTTCTGTCCTAATTAGTTAAGATGTTAAAGCAGGTAATTTTGCTTTTTAAATTGATGGAATTAAGTTAGGGGTAGAATAAATTGCAACAGCAAGATGATTCAAAAGCAAAATATTTGAAACTGAAAATCAAGGGCAAGAGCAATGTTGCTTCCATATTTCATTCTTTTCCCCTATGTGGGAGTTGGGGAGGGAGAGAGAGACAGAGAGACAGAGAGAGAGAGAGACAGAGAGAGAGAGAGAGAGAGAGAGAGAGAGAGAGAGAGAGAGAGAGAGAGAGTGAACTGCTCCCTATGTACAGGAGCAGTTCACTTTCCAACAGAGAGATCTGTGGGGAAAAAATGAGCTTTATTTTATATGATATTTGAACAACTGCATATTTCATGGCTTTCAATTACCAGTGGGGGGAAGTAAATCTCTTTTGTCACTTCTCAAATAATGGACACATATAATTCAGCCTATTTTCTGCCTAAAACCCATGGCACTCAAATGATAAAAGGGATATCCATGCTGGCTGCTCTGATGAGCTTTTCCCCCAGGTTTCCTGGACTTCCGTATTACAGGCTATTTTCTTGGAGCCAAATCAGAAATGTGCATCTGGGGTTTCTAGGGCTGGTTTCCATGGTGAGAGAAGTAAAGGGAGGCTACCTTTCTTTCTTCTCCCCAGTAATTTTTAGTACAGTATCTATGTAATTTAATTTTTTTCAAAATTGGCATTTCTAGCCTTTTCAATAAAATAGAAGAAAGAAATTTGAACCTAGGCAGAGGCCACGCAACACCCCACTTTCACCCTTATAATTAACAACTGGTAATATTTATAAAACCTCTCTGAGCACCAGGTAATATGCTAAATGTTTTATGTTCATTTACTCATTTACTTTTCTCAGTAACCTAGGAGGCAGACTCTATTTGTCATCATTTTGAATGAAGACAATCAGAAGCTCAGTAACTTGCTAAAGGTCCTATGGCTACTAATAATCAAAGAAAAGCTAGGATTTAAACCAGGCTCTGTTTAACATAAAAAATCAAGCTTCTTCTTGAAATAGGCATAAAGAGAGGAATAAAAAATATATACTTAGATATTTTCAGGAGTTTTTTTGACTTTTTAACTTTTTAATTTTTTTATTATTCATATGTGCATACAATGCTTGGGTCATTTCTCCCCCCTGCCCCCACCCCCTCCCTTACCACCCACCCCACCCCCACTCTCTTCCCCTAACTCCCTCGATACCCGGTGGTTTTTAGGGGTTCTTAAAAGGTTCTATGTCAATTTAGTTAGGCTAATATGTTGAGAATGTTTCTTGTTTTATTCCAAAATAAATATTTGAATGTTGTAACTTATCTCTTTATCCAGAACTGCTCTTGCCTTTGATTTTTGGATAGGAGTCTTTCCAAGAGGAATTGTGGGTAGAAGCCAGTTTTCTCTTTTTAAAAATTACATTTCCAATAATTTGATGAACTCTACCTACCAGGTATTCACCAGTACCCATTTTATAGTTATTATGTAGGATACTAATTAGCATTTAACCAGAAAGATAAAAACCTAAAAACAAAGAAAGAGAACTATGCTGAAACACAGAGGGAAGATTAAAGGAATGTCTACCAAATATGATGAGGTGCTGAATATGTTGTGAGCAGGTCCCTGACTGAAAACAAGTCTGTCTACAGGGTACTAACTACCTTCTACATAACAAGGCACCTTTGCTTTTGAAAATCCATGACCTTCTACTTCCATTCTCCCTGATTGCTCTAGGACCTCCTTCTCCCTACTATTAGGCTTGTGCAAATACAATAAATACCACTTAAGAGTTTCATCAATTAAAACATTCTCCTTTATACAGAGGAGAACTCTGTGTGTATATGTGTATGTTTGTGTGTGCACAAGTTCACTATTGAAAAAGTATAAAGTGCTGATAAACAAAAGGGAAAGTAAATTAATTCTTCTACCAATAGTTGTTTATGGTTTCCTTCCAGACCTTGTTTTTTCTATGCACACAAGTGTATATTCTTTTTCTTAAAAATTAGAGCATACTGAATTTCTTTAACCTAAATTTTCACTTTACAATGTAATAATGACAACAACAATACATTCATATAATGGTTGTTTATGAGGCTCCAGGCACTTTTTTGGGTTTTTAGCATTTATCATATCATTAAACTTTCAAAACAACCCAATGAAATAGATTTTACTATCATTTCTATTTCACAGATTAAAAAAAATCCAGCCCAAAGAGAGAGAAAGCAACATGATCATAACCACACAACAAGTGATTGACAGAGCATGGAATTAAAACCTGGTCTAGAACCACCTAGCTGGGGATAGTGAGGAGGAGGATGACAGTGATAAGGGGTAATGACTGATGTTTCCCGAGATGTTCTGACATGCTGAATCCCGTTCCAAGTGCATGCATGACATTGTTTACGCTAAAATGAATTTGTGAGGGAGGAGCTATTGTTATTTCCACCTTACAGAGGAGTAGACCGAGCAGTTAGGAAAATTGTCTAAGGGGGAATCAGGCACACGGTAATAAGAGATCTCATGCCAATGTGCTGTTCTGCTGCCTTTTGTTCAAGTAAATAAGCAGGTGTCTGCTGGAATCGCAACCCTCCCCCCTCTGACAGCAGAGCCTAGGTCTTAACGGAGGACACTCTGCTTAATTTCCTGTGCCAGAAAATGATTGCTTTTAATGGTCATGTGCCATAGATAAGAGAGTGGCAATTAAACTTATGTAACTAGTTCCTTAGTATGGAACGTTGGGTTGTTTCTTATTTTGAAGTGTATATAATTTTTGCAGTAAAATCTTATTAACAGAGTTGTTTCCTGCAAGTTATTTTTTTGTCATAAATTTCCAAAAATGCATTCTATTCTTGAAAATAAAAAATGGTATGTGAGGTAATGCATAAGTTAATTATCTTGATGTAGCCATTTCCAGTGTATACATATTTCAAAACACGTGTGCACAATACATATATATGTACATATATAATTTTTACTTGTTGATTAAAATTAATTTCAAAAAGAGTTTATGGTCAAAGGGAAGATTCATTTCCCTCCTGAAAGTTCATATTGATCGCTCCTTGATTTGAAGCCATTTCAACTTTTCATTCCCCTGCACCCTCACCACTGCTATGCCATCAATATCTTAAATTTTCCCAAAATGATAAGCAAAAATGATATAGCATTGTGATATTAAAATTGTATTTCTCAGACTTTTTATATATTGCCTGTTCATATTCTTTGCCCATTTTCTATTTAGGCATTAATATTTTTCTATTTTGATATATCTCATTGACATGAAGAATTCTTGCCTTTATGTATTAGGAATACTTAAATACTAGTGTATCATATTTGTTGAAAGCTATTGATACAAATATGATCTCACACTTTTTAGTTTGCTATCTTTATGAAGTTTTTGACCTAAACAACTTCTTTCTAATATTCCAAACTGCTCACCTTTTGGGAGGAGGGTGCTGGAGATCAAACCTAGGGCCTTGCATGCACTGAGCACGTGCTCTGCCACTGAGCTACACCTGCTGCCTCTTCATTTTTTTACTTCATACTTTCTATCTTTCATGCCATTCCTAGCAAGTCCATCTTGCCTCCAGATTTTAGATAAGTTTACCTAATTTTTATTATTGCTATTCATTTTTGTTTAATCCAGTTGTATATTATTTTGACTAACTTTATTTTTGCTAGTTTATTAAATACTTGTTCTGAGACTATGCATTAAGTAATACAGTTCTCATACTGATTTGAAAAAGACTTATAAACTAAAAAATTTATGTACTAACATCTATACTACGTGACTTTCAAGTCATAATCTCAGTAGGTTTAAGTGTAACTTAATGCATGGGATACGTGTTTTTTTTTTTAAATCTTCATTATTTATGCATTTTTGACAGTACTACAGTTTGAACTCAGGGACTTGTGCTTGCTAGGCAAGGGTTCTGCCATATGAGGCATACCCCAATTCTTTTTGCTTTAATTATTTTTCAGGTAGGGTCTTGTGCTTTCTGGCTGGGCTGGCCTCAGACTATGATCCCCCTACCTATGCCTCCTGCATAGTTGGAATTACAGAAGTGCACCCCTTATGCACCCCTTATGCACCCCTCATGACTGCCTTATTTGTTGAGATGGAGGGTCTCAGTAACTTTTTATCTAGACTGGATTCAAACCTCAATCCTCCTGATCTCTGCCTTCTGATTAGCTGGGATTACAGGTTTGAGCCACCATGGTCAACCCCTACCACCACCACCACCACATTTTTTTCTTACACATGAAGTTTAGAATAATTTTTGTAATGTCCCATGAATCATTTTTATTATATTAAGTTTATAGATTTCATTTTTGGGTCATTTATGTCCTGACCAATCTAATATCCAGGTTTTGAAAATATCTGAAAATGAAATGATTGAAATCCAAATATGTAATAAACATATTAAAATGTAGCTAAGCTTATAAGTAATCCAAGAAATGTCCTTTTAAACTACAATGAAATACAATTATGCATTCATCAGATTGGTAAAAACCAAAGTGTCAGGTAATACCAAGTGTGGACAAGGGTGTTTAGCAAAAGGAACTCTGATACACTGCTGGTCATTGTGTTAATGGCACAACCCCTTTGAAGAGTTTGTCATTGCCTACTGTGTGGGAAGATGCACATCCCCAACATCAGCAGGTCCTCTCCCAGGAATATATCTAAAGATACTTACAGAAGTCCTACAGGTGCAGGAATATTCAAGAAGACATTGTTCACAATGCTCCTAAATTGAAATTTACTTAAACAGCTATCAGCGATAGGCAGGTAGGTAATTTACAGTGTATGCATATAGAATCAAACATGAACAAACTGTAACTATGTGCAACAACTCAGATAAATCTCAAGTGAATGTTGTTGAGCAAGGAAAGCAAGATACCAAAGAGTACAAGGAATGAAATTTAACTTAAGGGGACTAAGAAGAATGTAAGGAACAGCATGCCTTCTTTTCTTCTTCTTCTTCTTCTTCTTCTTCTTCCTCCTCCTCCTCCTCCTCCTTCTTTCTTTCTTTCTTTCTTTCTTTCTTTCTTTCTTTCTTTCTTTCTTTCTTTCTTCTTCTTCTTCTTCTTCTTCTTCTTCTTCTTCTTCTTCTTCTTCTTCTTCTTCTTTCTTTTCTTCTTCTTCTTCTTCTTCTTCTTCTTCTTCTTCTTCTTCTTTCTTTTCTTCTTCTTCTTCTTTTTCTTCTTCTTCTTCCTTTTCTTCTTCTTCTTCTTTCTTCCTTCTTTCTTCTTCTTCAGCTTTTCATTGATAGTGTTTCCTTTATTATAAAACACTGAAATAAATTAAATAAATGTCTGTATATCTAGGCAGTCTCTCAGCCAGTTCATCCTCTGCCCCTGGGAGGTATATATAATATAAGAAAAATTAAACCATTGTTTACAAATCAAAAGTAATCATTGTCAAAAATTAAGAAAATTGTTATCGTAAAAATCAGGACCATGAGTTATAGGAACAAGACAAGTGGTGGGAGTAAGATTCAACTTCTTGACCTGTGTAAAGGTTACATGGGCATTTGCTTATGTTTCATTTACTTTTCTGAATGTAGGTATGGAAATACTTAAAAAGCAATACACACAAAATACACAGTGGCTTTTTTTGAGGAAACTCAGTCCTTCTCCTGGTCTGTTTGTACCCTGTCAGAAACAGGGCTTTTTCTTAAAGGGTTAGGAAAGCCCCTCTGAGTTTTCTCTGGTTTTTCAGCCCTTTGAAGGTTCAAAGAATCACCTATCTATTATGCTTTTGTATATATTGTCATGACTTTTGTTGCTAATGTCCTACAAAAACTTCTCAAAGTACCTAGCACAGCATGAATATTTGTTCAGTGAGTGAATTTACATCCAAATGTCTTCATGCCTAAAAATAGAGCAAGTAGGAGAAAGAAGAGTCACTTAATAAAGTTGTAAAAAAAGACATTCCCATAACCTATTAGGATGGTCCAATATGATAAAATATGCAACTTTTGTAGAGTAATGTTTATTTTGTTTGATATTTTCCTAGCACAATGGATCTGGTTATCCCTTGAAATTGTCTGCAGTTTCTTTATGTGACATGTCTGTCACCTGTCACCTGGGAGACTATCTGAGATGACTTGATAGAATATACTGAAAAGGGAAGGCGAAATCTAGCCCATTCTATCCACTCTGTGGGAGTATTGTGGAGTCAGGGTCATTATCTCACCAGTTGCTTTGGGAGTTGGGACGTGCAGAAAGGATGCAGTGCTGCGTGCAATGTGAATTCTCCAGAACATGAGACCCGCTTAGCCCTGTTTCATCAAGTTCTTACAGTCAGGGTCAGTCTTAGACTTGGGAATGTCAAAATTCTACAGCTTTAATTGGATGTTGTCCACAGGATTTTATTTAGAACTTAAGTGCACTTGACAGGCAAGCTTGTGTTCATATGTCCCAGGTCATCATTTCCTTTGTCCAGAGTCAGCACCTTTCTACAGGAGTCTTGGAGTCAACCCTGGGTATGTTTAGAGTGGGTGAATTCCTTCAATTTATATGCATGTTTGTCTGTCTTGAAGAGTTCCTGATCTTTTCTGAGCACTTTGTAAATGTTAGGCACTGTGCTGAGATTGTGGCATGCACTATCTTATTTATGTTCTAAACCAACAGAGACCACCTTCTTCTTATTCTGTTTGCAGAGGAGGAGATCATGCTCTGCCAACCAACTTGCTCAAGGGCACAGTAAATGGTGGAGATCAAATTTGAACCCTAACAACATAGCTCCAGAGCTAATGATTACAACTATGACTTCAGTAGTTTATTCAAATATTCATTTAACAAATTTCTGCCCATCAGCTCTGATTGTCAGGTTCTGTACTAGGCACTGGGCATGGAATGGTGAGCAAGCAGACAGGGTATCTGCCCTTGTTTGGTGCTTCACTTCCCCTACTTCACCCTTCAGGATTTAAGCATATTCTTAGAAGGGTGTATAGAAGGTCTAGGTATGGAAAATAGCTTAGAGGATTCATAACTGGGGGGTCATTTCTGGAGGTAAAATTGACTGTGGCCTGCCTTCCCTTGTTGTCAGTTCAGAGAGCTATGGTTACAAAGTTTAAATGACCCACAGCTGTTGTAAAACCTTATATTTCCAAGAGTGCCTGCTTCCTCTTTTCTCCTGCCTTACCCCAAGGAGGAGACTGCAAGTGCTTCTCTTGCTGTGTCCAGGTGATTCCAAGACAGAGAACTGATTCAATGCATGTTGCATACAATTATAAGCATTGTTTGCATCCATAATATAAATTTAGAACCTTTAGCACAGACTTTACGAATTAAGTAACAGCATCTTCTTGGCTTTATTTCAGAGTTAGCTGCATATTTGAGGCCCAGTAGTACCCAAATTTTAATAGGTGCATGATCTAAATAAGAGAGGAACTTATTGTATATTAAAGTCTGTGCATGCCTGTGTATTTTAGTTGATAAATTAGGCTACTGAGAGAGCTAAGAAAATTAGAAAATTTTGCCTGCTGTGAGCAATCTAGCAACAGATAATAAACATCCATAAGTTTATACTCTACGCTGATAATTCTCCTTCAGAGGAACATGTTGGGAAAAGAGATTTGTTAACATCTCAGGGAGTAAGCTGGCCTGACTTTTTTGTTTTTCAGCACCTGAGATGTTCACCTGCAGAAAGGAAGCAGGCTACTCCTTTGCTGTCGACTGGTGGTCCCTGGGAGTGACGGCATATGAGCTACTGAGAGGCCGGGTACAGTAGATTGCATGTTCTCTTTGGTTATTTTTCCAGCAAGTTCTATTCTAGAATGAGAGAATGTGTTGTTTGCCAAGAACAAGCACTCTGAGAGCTGAAAACAGCTATGTGTGTATGATGCTGATAACACCACTTGAGACTTCTGCACAGATCAATTCACTGTCCTACATATGGAACTAACCATGTCCGCTGACATTAAATTGCACAGATAAATTGAATTAATAATATGGATATTGTAAACTCCCAAAGGGGAAATTGATACACCTCATTAAATACCTTGGGTAAATATACGTGTTTGTTTAAAGAAAGTCATTTTGCAGCCACAGTATAGTATAATTCACACCCCTGTCCAAGCAAGTGTGAGTTATTAAAACAGCATAATTCATGCCCTATCTTGTCAGACTCCTGTCTGTCATTTGATCCCAGGGTTCTGGGTCCAGTGACAAATTAGAGTTGTTTCCTTTTTAAAGGAAACATTTCTTAAACAGGAAACTCTTTCCTAGGAAAAAATCAGACAAATGTGATGAAACTTATATTTTATATAATTTTAACATACTATTGCAGAATCCAAATATCCCCCTATGATTGTGTCTTAGCTCAGCTCAGCCTGCCATATAAAAATACTATCCTGTGTGGCTTAAATGAGACATTTATTTTCTCACAGTTACAGAGGCTGAAATTCCAAGCTCAGATTGCCAGAAATGTTGGGTTCTGGTGAGGTTTTTCTTTGTGGTATGCAGGCAATGGTCTTATTATGTTCTCATAAGCAAGAAAGAGAGAGAGAGAGAGAGAGAGAGACAGGGAAAAGGAACGGGAAAGGGAAAGGGAACGGGAGAGAGAAAGAAAGAAAAATCTTCCTCTTCTTAGAAAGTCACTAATCCTATCATGAGGGCTCTAACACCATGATGCCAAAGATCCAATCTTCAAATACTGTCACATTGAGGGTTAGATATCAACATATGAGTTTGGTGAGGACATATTCAGTCCATGATATTTCACCCTTAGCCCTCTAAAATCATGTCCTTCTCACATGCAAAATACGTTCACTGCATTCCAGTAGCCACAAAGTCTTCTCATCCAGCATCAACTCCAAAATCTGAAGTCCAATGTCACAACTAAATATCATCCAAATCTAGTATGAATGAAACTCAAGGTATGATTCATCCTGAGGCAAAATTCATCTCCAACTATGACCCTGTAAAAACAGATAATGTTGGCACATAGGAAAGACAATCCCATTCCAAAAGCAAGAAATATGAAAGAAAGAACAGATACCATGTCCAAATTAAGTACAAAACATAGTAAGACAAAATCCATTACCATTACATCTGAAGACTCAAGAATAATCCTCTTTGCCAGGTGTACACAGAGGGTAGATAATGGGTACCACAGTACAGTTGGGGGAAGTGGTTCTGATGTTGTAGAGAAACTATGGCCTACGATAATTAATTGTACTTTTCAAAATAGCTAGAGAAGACTTTGAGGGTTCTCAACAAATAGAAGTGAAAATGTTTTTTTCAGAAGTGGTAATGTTAATTACTCTAATTTCATCACTACACATTATATACTAGTATTGAATTATAATTCTCTGCCCCACAAATAAGTACAATTTAAATTATATGTCAATTAAGAGGGAAAAGAAAAAGAATGATCCTCTAAGGTTTAATTATCTGCCTTCCAGGTCTATTGGCATGGTAACACCACCCTCATGGCTGGGACAGAATGGAGAGAGACTCACAAAAGTGCCTCTACGCTGGGCACCTGTTGCTCACGCCTGTAATCCTAGCTATTTGGGTGACTGAGATTCGTTTGAGGCCAGCCCAAGCCAATAGTTTGTGAGATTTTATTTCCAAAATAACCAGAACAAAATGGACTGGAGGCATGGCCAAAGCAGTAGAGTGCTTGCTTTGCAAGCACAAATCTAAGAGTTCAAACTTCAGTTCCATCAAAGAAAAAAAAAAATGTGCCTCTACAAGGTCTCTGTCATATGGGTCTGGCCTGCTGTCTCTCACACAGCTCTCTAATGGTAGTTTTGCCCTTTGAAACTGGACCAGAGGAATCCCTGCCCCCAAGCCAGTGTACTCTGTACCTTTAGGGGAAATGGCAGACCCTGGTGATCTCTTACTCCCCGTGGGGGTCCTTCTCTTTACTTGCAGGGTGGTGTATGTCCACAGTCAGATAGCATTATGGTTCTGTCTTGTGAAATGTAAGTCTGACAGCCTTCTTTTATTCCATCTCACTTGCTGTTCCAGCGACATCTCTGCAGGTATAATCCCATCTTTTTCTCTGGTTTTTGTTGAGAGGCTGATTAGGTTCATGAGAAACAGGCATCATCTCTATCAATTGCGTTCAGCCAGGTCCTTAACATTCTATTCAGACTAAGCTTTATCATTTTTTTTTTTTGCAATATGAATAGGTCAAAAATTTTCCAAATGTTCAATTCCTATTTTCTTAATGGTTTCTTCAATTCCTATCGCATCTTTTGCATTTTTCCATAAGTAATCAAGAGAAACCCAGTCACTACCTCAACAATTTGCTTAAAAATCTCCTCAACTATAAGTACAGTTTTATTATTGTTGTGTTTCATCTTCCACAAAACACTAAGAATACAGATCACACAAGTTCCTTGGCATTTCCTATATAACAAGATGACTTTTCCTCCCGTTTCCAGTGAATGTTCCACATTTTTGTTTGAGACCTGACAGGAATTCTCCCTAACATCCATATTTCTGCCATGCACCTCAAAACTCTTCTAGTTTCTACCCAATAACTACTTCCAAAGTTGCTTCCACATTTTAGGTAGTGATATAGCAGCACCTTATCTCTCAGTTCCAAAATCCATTAAGTCAGCTAAGACTGCCTAACAAAATATATCCACTGGGTGACTTAAGCAACAGAAATTTATTATCTCAAATATGGAGGGTGGAAGTCTGCAAACAGCATGTCAATGATTGTGTTCTGTTGAGAGCTGTGTTCTTGGTTTGCAAATGGCTGCCTTCTCACTATGTCCACACATGATGGGGAGAAAGACTTTCTTGTTGTTGTTGTTGCTGCTGCTGCTGTTCTTTCTTCTCCATCTCTTTCTCCTCCTCCTCCTTCTCTTCTTCTTCCTCATCCTCTTCCCCTTCCTTCCCTTTCTTCTTCCTCCTCTTCTTCTTATTTCTTCCTCCTCCTCCTCCTCCTTTTCTTTTGGTCCCCTTTTTCCTCCCACCATGAGGGCCCAAACTTCACATCCTAATTGAACCCTAACTACCCACCAAAGGCCCCATTTCTAAATACCATCATTGAGAGTTAGGGCTTCAACATGTGAATCTGGGTGGGGACACAAATATTCAGTCCATATTAGTTGTGTACTCTCCAGGGCCGGGTGATGGATGCCATCAGTAATTCCTCTAAGACCAAGGAGTTGAAGACTTGTCTTTCTGCCTTTAAGTACTTAGTTGTCCCACAGAGGCAAGGCATTGTTCTGAAGTCATCATCCAGATACCACAGCCAAGCTAGCCTATTGTAATTTTTCTTTCTACTTCAGTTAGCAGTCCTCTTCCTGGTCTTCCATCACACTACCATAACTTCTATATTAAGAGAATCATCTCACAACTCATTGGCTTACTAACATTTTACAGCAAGTGTTAGAATTTGGGGCTATTTCATCATGGCTCAATGGCTTCATTTTGCTCAGGGAAGCAAAGATAAGGAGGACCTCACACTTGTCTCTGTTTCATTCACTCTATAGAGTCAATTTCACACCTTAGCATTAATTTGTTCACTCACCCTTCCCTTAGAAGACAGTCAAAGCACTATTGGTGAGGCATATTCAAAAAACCAAGGAGATTATCGTCAGAGTCTGCTGGCCTTAGATTCATAATCCTCCTGTCTCTGCTTCTTGTATGCTGAGATTACAGGTATGTACCACCATGCCCATATTCAAACTTTGATGGGTTATTTATATTAATGGAAGAGAACTACCTTTGTAAGTCAGGTATACAGATCCTCCATGGACAGTCTCAGGTACTACCTGTTTCCATCTTCTGATGGATTCTGTCCCATGTTCTAAAGAGATATAATGAGGCAGTGGATATGATATTTACGATTACATTGACAAATAGGAAGGAAAACCACATCATTAACTTAAAAGCAGAAACATCTCTGCTCTTTCCCACCTCACCCTCAAGCTTTTCCTTCTAGACAACTTCCTCAGGACGCCATGTCTAATCTCTCTGTGGTTTAGGGGAACTGTGCTTTCTCCCCATCGTCTGTAACAGATTTAGCAAAACAAAAGCTGAGTAGTGAATTGACAAACAAAACAGCTGTGATTCTTCTTCACATGTGCTTAATATTGTGTTTATGTCTCGCTCATCTAGAAGACGTCTTCTTGCTTGCCTGAAAGAATTTTGCTAAGAAATTCACTCTTCGTTGTTCCATATTATTATTTTCATGGTAGTTTCCTGTGATAAGACCTACCAGTTTTAACAAATTCGTTTTTTCTAAAGCACAGATCTGACCTTTCCTTTAAAAAATGTTTTTGTTCTCCCAATACTGTTCTCTTTCTGTCTTTTTCTGTCTCTTCAAATGCCTTAACTTTGCATTGTTGGCTCTTAAAGTGAGATTAACTTTCAGAGTTTGCTTCCATTTGAATATCCCCCCTTCTCGAACTCACTGCCTTCTCTTTGCTTTTCCTCCTCTTCTCAAAGCACTCTTGGGCATTTTTACCTCTCATTCCTTTGACCATACAAAGTAAGCCCTGGATTTCTTAAAAAGTCACTCTTCATAAGTTTGGGAATTGCTAAATCAAGTTTGAATAAAGTTAAGAATGTGTCTTGATGTCAGGGCTTTTCAGGATATTTAGAACCAATGCATATTGGTCTTTTTTTAAAAAAGGACATACTACTAAACTATCACAATTTCTTGCATTTGGTGGTGGAGAGGCTTCTGCAGGTCTCTTCCTGTTAAAATTCCACCCTGACTATTACAAATAGCAGGTCTTCCAAAGAAACTTT